TACTGTGTGGTAATACTGCTAGCTTTGTCATTGGTAAAGGGATTTGGTGAAGATTGCTGCTTTTACCTCCTGTTACTGCTCAGTCTGACCTGTATGATAGGGTAAATTAGAAATGATTCGAAGTAAAGCATAAGTGAGGTAAGCTAGTAAGAAACTTGCATAGTCTTGAAAGAAAGCTAGTCAGAGATCTTTATTTCAAAGTCATTAAAATTATTTATGCAAACCTCTAACTATCCGTAGATTTGTCCCCTCCCTCTGGTAATCACTGGATATTTTGCATTGTACCTCAGATAACCAGCTGGCATCACCTGCAAACACCTCTTGATGAAATGAACGTAGCAGTTTCAGAAGTATCTTAAGTGCTCTGGGCACTTTCAAAAATCCTATGAGTTGATTATTTTCATATTTAGATTTTGAAATAGCGCTGGAAATCTCTTCAGAACTGTTCATGCTGCAGATGTGGGGATCAAGCTGAGTTCTGCATCTTCGCCCCTTGAACTGCGCTGTCATATGGGCTGTCGCAGGCTGCACTGCAGGTGTACGATTCAGGATGAGTATTGGTACCGAGCAGAGCCATAGCACAGTAAAAAGTGGCAGAGTACTTATTGCTGAGCTCACTTTACGGTTGTAACAACAGTGTTTAGCTTATTTTCACTGAGAGGGATCTGGTGACCTTGGGATAGGGTGAGGCATAAACTAGTGAAATCATTTATCACTCTTACTGCAGAGCGGTGAAATTTGTTATAGCAGCTGCTTTGGGCTGTACGTAGCCCACGTGTCTACTCGGTCTCTCAAGGTGCTGACCAAGACGTGAGCTTATTGCCATTCCAAATCCAATTCCCTAGACCTCCTTGCTGTGGTACGCAGCAGAGCTGCAGACCTGAGTAAGAGCAGTCCCACAGCACACTGTAGAGCTACACCCCAGCAGCGCCTTTGAAGGTGCCTGATACGGCGCAGCCCGAAACCCCAGTGTAGCAGCAGCTGCCAGGTGAGCCCAGGGGAGGCCGTGTCTTTAAGTCAGTTCACAGACCAAAAGATTTCAGGTCAATTTGACTGTTATTGGCTGAGCTAGTATTTTGCTTATCGTGTTGAGCATGCATGATGTGAAAATGTCATAACCCTGAGCATACGTCCCTTTCATATAGAACTAGGTAGAATATAGGTTTGAAATGAGTATGTCTGAAAATGGCTCTAATAGAACTAGCAGACTTTAAACTTAAACTTTTCCCTGTAGGAAACAGGGAAAAAAAAATACGGATTTCTTTTTTCTTTTCACTGTCATCCTTTTTGAAACTAACTGTGCCTGTCATCTTAGTTATGGAAGATTCCCTTAGTCACAATCTGAAATAAAAGGTGTGGATGTTTTTCAAGAAAATTGGTCTCTTGGGCTCACTGGATCATTAAAACTCTGTGGTTTTCCCAAACATCTGCTACAGGTCCCAAATTATAGGTGGTTCTTTCTCTTTGCTAATTCTCATTTACTTGACATGCAGGTGTTTTTCCTTGTTTCAGTGATCAGAATCATAACTGTTTCTCTGAGTTTCTCATGGCAAAAGTTTAAACTGAGTATCATGAAAGGTTTGCTGATATTTTCATATCTTTTCTAATACTTAATTATGTCACCACAGCCACTAAAGGCCACCTAAATAGGCACCTAATTGCCTCAAAAGGATAGGTGTACTTTTAATTTTTTAGGCAGCTAAACAGAAAATTGGGCTAAGAAGAAAATATGAAATATATATTTAAAAAGTGTTTTTGTACGGTTTTTTATTCTTCTTGAAATGCTGTGATGATTGATTTGGGGGTTCTCTTCCCTTGGGATGCTCATGTGCGTACGTCCTCGTCCTCTGTGTGTGTAACCAAGGTCTTGAGAAAACGAGTAGCTTGTCCAGCTCGTGCACAGAGGAGGCGAAGCCATAAGGTGGCAGTGGCCTCGCGGGGGCTTCCAGTCACAAGTGCCCTTGGAGAGGTGCTGCCTGGGGCCTTCCTCACCTGCTCGTGTGACTGCACCTCCCTCAGCCCCTCACGGGTGCTGTGGCCGGCCCTTTCCCTGTATACAAGTATGCCAGGACTGCACAAGAGATCAATTTATAATGATATATATAAGGGTGGATTCCCTTCCTTTTGAAATCACTGGAAATTGATTGTCAGTGCAAAAAAAAATGTTTCTAAAAACACTTCAGGGAAATCTGTTTACAACTTTGTTGTAAAGGTTTGAACTAGTTCTCCTCCTGCTCAGTGTTATCCTCAGGAAAAACTCTTTTGATCCTCAGCTTCCTGCTGTAAAAAGTGACAGTTTGTGTATGTTCCCCATTTGTGGTTGCTATAGTTAAAAGCTTCGTTCCTTAGTCTCCATCCATGTTGTCTTATTTATTTATTTATTTATTCCTGTAGCCTACATAGGATCAAATCCAAATAATAATTTGAATAATGGACCAAGGTGTTCAAGCCTTTGATGACAGTAGAAAGCATAACATTAAATAGGCCAAGGCACAGCGTATTCCACTCTGTTCACCACCGATATTACATTTCTCCTACTAATACTGAGGATGGTTCAGCCAAGAGGTTTTCTCTTCCTCATAAATCAACAGAATGGGAACACTTCTTTGCGGCAGAGAGGGAAGGGAAGAGTCTTAGCCAGGGATGTACGTTTGTTTCATGTATTTATTTTTATTCATAATGGGATTTTTTTTCTGTTTTATATCCATGTTATCATCGTGAACCTAGTCCTCCAACCCACAGGCAAAATTGATATTGATACCATAAAAAACAATGACTTCACTGCATGATCTGTAGTCATTCTCAAT